GGGCGGGGCGGGGCGGCGCGGCCCACCTTGGTGTTGAGGACGTTGCTGGCGATGCGGCAGAGCATGAGCAGCCCGTCCTCCTGCATGGACCAGGTGACGCGCAGCCGCGTCATCCTCTGCAGTGCGCTCTGGTCGGCCTCGTCGTGGTAGCGCGGCTTTTTGTTTTTATCTTCGGAGAGCTCTTCTGAGAACACCGGCGGGGAGGGGGGAGAGAGGCGGCTGTGACTCCTCCGTCCCCCCTTGCTGCGGGGAAGGCCCCTGGCCCGGGCCTCATTACAGAATCTCGGCGTGTGGGAAGCCGTACAGTGAGCCACAAAGACTCGGCCCTTCCTGACAGACTTTTCAAACACCCTTTCATCATTTCTCTTCGGCATCACGTCCTGGTGACAGGCTGGATGGCCTGAAGATGGCCTCTTACTAGATAGCTGCCGATCGGCAATGCTTCCCACCGCGCACTACCTCGCTGAGGCGCTGGCACGCCGGGAAGCCCGCGCGCCCAGCACAGTCCCTGCGCTCTGTGGGGCCAGGCGCATCCCACCGGGCTGCCTGGAGGGAAGGCGCCTGGATGTAACCCCAGTGTGGCCTCAACGCGCCTGTCAGTGATGCTTGGCAACATCCCCACGAAGAGGACACAAGGCCTCCCCCTTTTGCACTTGAGGACACCTGAAACAGCGCCACACGGCAACCTGCCCAAGTCACAGCCTCGCCGCAGCAGCCTCTGGACTTGCGCCCCAGTTGCCAAGCCCAGGCTGAGTCTCCTCACGGAGGAGAACAGGCAGCAGGCTCGCAGGTCAGGGCGGCAGCACATGCTGGTCCCCAAAGACCGTTGCGTGAGTGTCCGCTCAGGCAGGCTAGCTTCAGAGGGGACCACGCACTTTGCCTGGCGTGAACCCCGTCTTCATGGCCACACGGCTCCTACACAGACCCTGGCAGGTGACCGGCGGCCTTTCTGGCAAAGGCGGGGCTGTCTCTTCAGACACCAGCCAAGCAAACTACAAAAACTGTTTTCTGAGCTACTAAATTCTGCTTTCCTGTGGAAAAGCAATAGCTCTCAAGTTACTGTCACAACAAAAAGAGCGCTCAAGTGACACAAAAGGGTCTGAAACACAGGCGCCAGTCTTACTGCCCTCCTGCCCATCAGAGGCCGAGTGGCAGCCTAGGGGCCGCACACCCGAGGGGTGCGGGAGGCCTGCAGGTGTGCCAGGCACGACTGCCCCTCTCCTCTACTTTTAGAACACAAAACTGAGCTTTAGTTTCATCAGCGTAAGTGCAAAACACTGAAAGGCAAATCAACAGAGTGACAATATTCCGGCTGCTTGCGATGAGGTGTTTCTGAGGACCTGGGCTAAGGCTTCCCCGGAGAGGTGCAGTCAGAACCTGGACTAAGGCGGCTCTAATGTAGAAGCCACACAACAGAGACAGTGGAAGGTGCCCAGGAAGCTCACTGGGAACTAAGCAGCACGCATGCAAGGCGGCACCTCGTGGAGGGACTCAAACCCCACGCCTCAGGCTCGGGTCCAAGCCGGACCAGGCCCAGATGAGGCCTAGCAGGCACAAACAAGCAAGTGAAACCTTTTTTCTTTCTCTTGGACTTCTTTGCAGGGTCCTTCTTCAGCCGCTTCCGCTTCTGGTTCTTCCCGCCTCTCACTCTGAGGTTTCTGTCCAGCAGGGGCTCCTGCTCCATGTCAAGCTGCTCTTCCCTGTCAGCACAGAGAGTGGCTCCGGAACCTGCTTCCCCCCAGATATTCAACCTTCCGTTGCCTAGAAGTGACCACAGATCAGTCTCAAGATGAGCTCCGCAAAGGCCGGAGCCAAATGAGATGTGCGGTGGTGTCTGGACTCACTGGCACCAGGACCGTACTGGGGTGAAGCCTCGGCACACGTACCTCCAGCACCAAGTGGCAACGGATGCTTAGACAGAAACGTCTGGAGCCTCACCGTGAGCCCGTTCTCTGAAGTGGTGCTCTCCTGAAACACAAGCACATGCTGCAGTTGGCAGGCGTGCCGAGAGTCCCCGGCCAGGAGCGCCATGCAGCGAACATGCCTGACCCAGCCTAGGAGGGCGGGGCCTGCCACGAAACTGGGGCGCCCCTTAGTGCCACTGTCTGATTCATGCATGCTCCCCTCTTGTATGATACTTGTCTCTCAAGCTTTCTGCTACTTGATTTGTCTTAAGATTTATTTATTTATGCATACAGAACTAGGGTACAGGCCAGGGGGTTGAGAGGATCCATCACAGAGTGGGGAGCAGAACAGGCAGATGGACAAAGCACACTGCTGAGGGGAGCAGCGGGCGGGTCAGCAGAGGTCTGCCGCGCCATGTGGGCCAGCTCTCTGGCCAGGGATCGAACTCATGCTGCAGTGGCTGTGGACAGCATCACAGTGCTGTGCCTTAACCACATGCGCCACCAGGGAGGGCCTTGTTCCACGTGACAGAGCAAGCACCTATTGAAAAGTAGTAATCCAGACAGACACCCAAGGGGCCTGACGTAGCTCCAGTGAAAGGGAAGTAAACACTATGCCTCTGGCACTAATTCAGGAGCCCTGAGCCTGGGCTGGAGAGGCACGCCGGCCCCTGAGCTGCGGTCTGCGGCCCCCAAGCCCACCTTTCTGGCCTTGATGATGTAGCTGGTCCAGATCCAGTTGCGCTTCAGGTGTCCGTAGAAGCTGGAGTCGAGCCCCGCGGCGCCCAGCCCATCTCCTGGGATCAAGCCTTCGTCCACCACCTCTCGGCTCCCCCTGTGAGGTGGGAATAAACGGAATGAGCGTCACTCGGGCACTGAAAGAGAACTGTGGGGTGGCTAGGGCATTTTTGTTCACTTCCACCTTCCCAGAAAAACACCTGACGAGCAGAAGTGAAGAATCTGTCATAACCCCAGACTTTAGTAAGTTCTCAATTTTTAATTTTGGCAACTTTTTTGAAACAACGCGTGGCTGGGGCCATCTCTGGCCCAGAGATGCCAACGTGCAGCCTCTGCACCAGCCCTTGGCCCCGGGCCTGACCCGAAGCCAGACGTGGCGCCACCCAGGGCCCGCGTGTGAGGGCGGCACGCACGTGGTGTACTCCAGCAGGGCACACTTGCGCTCCAGGTTGTGCTTGTCCACGGCACTCTCCTGCTCCTTCTGCAGGCTGCCCTCCTCGTCGCTGCCCTGGTCCCCGCTGCTGTCCTTCCTGATGCGCGGGCAGCGAATCACACCTGCAAAGCCAAACACACCGTACTGCTGAAGTCAGGCGGCCAGTGAGCTGCTGGGGGGGCGAGAGAGCAGATTTCTGGGAACAGGATCCCCAGCCAGACGAGAGGACCTGAAACTGGCAGGACCCCTTTGTAGAGTTCCTGTCAGAGGGAGTGGACGGGGGTGAGTTTAACCCTCGAGGGCGCGTCTGAGCACAGGCGCAACTCCACAAGGGTGAGCAGGTAGTCAGGGAACCCGGCAGGCTCAGGGTGCCCGCGACTAAAGGACCCAGGGGCTGCTTTGCAGGTCCTTGCAAAGGACTCCTCTGCTTCCTCTCTGTGGGAAGCCACGGGGAGTTCCCGGCGCCAGCACGGAGGAAGCACTAAGTGAGCAGGTGCCCCCTGGTGTGGTGGCAGGCAGAGGGCCGCAGGGGCTTAGACAGACAGTTTGAGGCAGCCTCAGGTTCCCTGGACCTTCTGGGGTCTGGGAGCAGCCAGATGTCTCCTGAGTGGCAAGAGATAGATTAATGCAGTTGAGAAATTTCTTTCAGTGATTCCATAATAAAGAAAATTGCTTTCTTACAAGAGAATATGTTATAAAACAAAAACCATTGCTTGACTAAGGGAAACAAAAGCAGTAGGATTTGCAGACCACTTCTAACCAGCTCTACGAAGACCCAGGGTGGTAGGTGTGGCGTGCGTGAGGGCGAGTAGCCACGGAAGAGAGCTTGGGCCTTTCTGCCAGAGCTCTGCATGAGACAGCTCATTCAAGCTTCGCCGGCTTCCAGAAGGCAGTGGTGGTGTTCCCACTTTACAAGTGAAGAAACTAAGGGAGTACGAAGACCCTGAGCCATCCACGTAGAAGGGACAGTTGGACCAAGAAAACTCCAGGCAGTGCTATTCGCGTGCACCACCACGCTGCTTGTGAGAAAGGCAGATTTAGGGTGTCCCCTGGCTGCCAAGTCCAAATCTCAGGCCAGGCCCTGGGATCACATGCTAACAGGCTCCTCGTGGCAGACTCACATTCAGGGAAGCCCAGTTTAAAGGCTGCTCAAGCCCTATTATGCCATCTTCCCCTCAGTCTTTGGGCAAAACAACCGCCAGTGTTTGCTGAATGCATGCCCGATGGGTAGACTCCACAGGGGCACCCACATTTCTGCTCATAAATACTGAAAGAAATGAAATTCCTCAATTGTCAAGCCTGAAAAACTCTGGAGCACATAACATACTGGTTCACAAATTTTTATCTTTATATAAAATGAAAGAATATGAGGGCACTTAAAAATCTGAAAAGTTAGAAGCCGAGCTCGCTGCTGAAGGCAATAGGAGTCTACGAAACACAGTCCTCAAATTTGTCTGGATGCATTAAAGTTACAGACACAATTCTAATACATAAATATGTGGCCCGTGCTTTGCAAAGCCTAGATGGAATACTGTTCTTTCAGTCCTGGGAGAGGAACAATGACAAGATTCCTCTCCTGTGGCAAATTCAAGGGAGCATCCCATCTCTCCTCGCAGAAGGGGCTAGGAGAGACCAAAGGGAACTGACTTAGGGACAGAGCAGACTGGAGACGCTACAGACCTCCACAAGCCCCCCATTCGTTCAGTACACATGTATGGGAGGTCAACTGTGTGCTGGCCACTCTGAGACTCCCTAGGGATGGAAGTCAAATGTCCTGTGCCCACAGAGTTCAGAGAATGCCAGCAATGGTGCCCAGAGGCTTCCTCTAAGAGGTGATGCTTGAAATAGGCCACTTGGAGGTGAGCAGGGCTGCCAGGAGACCGCCCAGAGGGAGGACAAGAGCAGAGGCCTTATCTGAGGGCCCCGCCGTTCATCCAGTCCACAGGCAAGCGGTCAGGTCTTCCTCCAATATGCACACACCCTTGATCCCACATCACAGCCCCTAACTGTCCTCCCTGTTCTTTCTCTTGTGCCTCAATCCAAACTCCACACAGCCGCCTGGGCACATTTGGAAAACTTGAGATCACTTCGCCCTGCATACACCCACCACCAGCTCCCTGCCGCTGCTAGGGCAACCTACACTGGTCCTATCCTGCAGGCCCCAGAGCTGGCTCTGCCCTGCCTCTCCATCTCAGCTGCCACCCGCTCCCCACCAGCTGCCGGGGGAAGGACACTGTTCTGCTGTTCCCCAGACTGGCCTGGTCCCAGCTCTGGAAACGCAGCTCACAGGTCTCCTCCCTCACAAAGGCTACTCCTGACCCCACTGTTAAAATGTCCTCGACTCATCATGCGTGCCTATCACACCTCTGGTGTGTGTGTGTGTGTGAGCCCTAAGAATGTGTCGCAGGCAGGCGGGGCTCACTGCTGCCTGGTCAGCTCAGGAAGTGACGCAAGGCATTCAATAAACACTAAGTGAAAAACGCTGAAGACAAAATGGAGCTGCTATGCTAAGTGGGGGGTGGGCCTGGGAGCACTCAGAGCTGCGCACTACTCTGCCTCCTACCGGCGTGCCGACCACCAGCCTGAGTGACTTCCGTCTGGTCTCTTCCAGCTTAATGCCCAGCAGGGGAGCAGTGAGCGAAGCAGACACTACCTAAGGGGGTGTTGAGGCAGACGCACTGCAGGTCCAGCCAGTAGTTCTCCACATCCTGCATGGAGTTCAGGACATAGGGCCGCCGCTCGAAGGGCCGGCTGCTCCGCGCGAGGTTGTAGTGCGGGTCACAGGTGGTGGTGTCGACAATGGCTGCGTTCTTCTTCAAGAAAATAAAGACCTACGAGAGCGACATGGGAGCGGGGACTGCCCTCAGGAGGAGCCGCGGCCAGCTGCCGGGACGAGTGCTCACCAGCCAGCCCCGTCACGCGAGCTTGAAAGGCGTTACCTGGTCTTTGTCCTGGTACTTTTCTGTGGGCCCGAACTGGAGCAGCCCCATGTAGCACAGCCTCTGGAGGTTCTCCACCACCGAAAAGATGTAGCGTCTAGAAAACAGGGACGCGTGGTCACACCCCACTCCTGCAGCCGGAGGAACAGCCTTGGGCCTGTACTGACGGCGTCCGAACCAGCTTCCCAGTGCCCACGCAGGGCAACAGGGTGCTGCTCTCCAGCAGGGTTGCGGCTTAGAGGGACAAAGGGAAACAGCGCTCTTGTACTTGAGCAGAGCAGCAGATTTTACTAAAAAGAACCTTGAGCTCAAATAGGAAACATGCCAGCCCGCCCTTCACCCGCCCATGCTCGGTTACAGACTTACAGGTGGCTGAGTTCAGGAGAACCTTGAGTTTTACTATCTGGAAGGCTGAACCTGTATCCTTCTGGGGAACAATCATGCGGCACCCCAACTTTGAGGGGCTTGCCAGGGCCCATGCCAGCCTGAGGCGGTTTCAGGGAACTCACCTCTTGTACAGAAGCTGCTGCCGGATGGCCTTGGGGAGAAAGCGGATCAGCGTGTGCTTCTTCAGAGGGTCGTCCAGGAACTCCTCGAGGTTGTCCACCTGAGGGGGATGTTCTGCTCACCCTCGCGGCAGGAGTAAATTGCGAACATTTGGAAAAACGCTCACCACTCCTCTCACTCTCAGACTGAGGCCTCTCTGAGTGCGCGTGTGGGCTGCCTGGTGAAGGGCTCCTTCCCCGGCCTGTCTTCCCCCTCCCCTCCTGCCCTTCATCCCCTGCCTGCCTTCAGTCTTGTCACCCTCCCTTCCAGCTCATCGGCCACACAGCTGGGGGCAATAAACGTGTCTGCCTACACTGCTGGTGGGCACACAGATTGCTGAGACATTGAAGGATATAGGGATATATTTATGTATTTTGCAAAAAGATGAAGAATGCTCATTCCCTTGGAAGCCAGTGATTCTATCTCTGTCTTTATCCTAAGGAAAAAATTTGGGGGGCCTCCCTGGTGGTGCAAGGGATTAAGTCTCAGCACTATGAAGCTATTGGCAGCCTCTGCAGCATGAGTTCAATTCCTGGTGAGGGAGGTGACCCACAGGGTGCAGCAGACCTCTCCTGTCTCACCTGCTGCTCCCCTCAGCAGTGTACCTCATCAATGTGCCATTCTGTTCCCCACGCTCTCTGGTGAATCCTCTCATCCCTCTAGACTTCTGGTCTACACTCCAGCTCTGATATGCATAAATAATTAAATCTCTAATAAAAAAAATTTTGGAGCTGCCCCAAAATAAGTTCACCAAAAGGTTTTCATCAATATGCCATTTATAATACTGAGAAACTGGAATGTAAATGCCTAAAAATAGAGTATGGGTTAAATAAATTCAGATATGTATGCAAGAAAGAATACTACAAATTTACTTAATATCATGCTAAAACTCAAAGTGGAAAATACAAAAAAAAGATAATAAAGTAAATATAGTGTAGCCTTGAGTCAACTTTCTTTTAATAAGAGAGATCTCACATATACACACACAACTTCCACATAAAGATGTGGCAGAGAAAAAAAAAAAAAGAAAATCTACCAAAACCACCAAAAACATAAGTTGACTTTCCTCCTTTTCTTTATTACCGTATTTCAAGAACATCTTATTGTTACACAATAACTATCTGTTGACTGATCTTTGCAGTATTCCCCTTGACTAACCATCCGACCAAACAACCACCCCCACCTCCACCCATCCTACCTCTCTCCCCTTCTATCCTGTCTTCCATCCATCCAACCTGTCTTATCTTCTGATCCATCTATCTTGAACAAGTTTTTCACATACATTTTTACTGATCAGATGATCATCCATTCATCAAATATCTACCTGCCTATCTACTGACTCGTCTACCTAGAAGAACAAATCTTTCAAGAATCTTCCACTAACCATCCATCCATCTACCTGAGCATCTACAAGACTTAAAGTGTTTCCCTGTGACCCACTGAGTGGGGGCTTCCAGCCTGGGCCTGGGGAACAAGCCCCGAGGACCTGCAACAGCCCTGGAGTTGCCAGTACCTTGTAGCTGACTTGCACGATCTGGACGAAGATGGAGAGGGGCAGGCAGAGGAGAATGTCACTGACCAGAGCCCAGCCGAAGCCAAAGTCCCGGTGGACTGGGATAGGAGGGATGTAACGTGTCCACGAGACTTCGTCCACGTATACTGGGGGAAAAGCGGAGACAGTCAACAGACAGGGTCCCTGGCATGAAGGCAACACCCTTTCCCCCAATAGGTCCCCCTCACCAAAAACTTGGGCAAAAATCCTGTCAGACCACAGGCCCACAGGTCAGGAGGTTTGGATTATGGCTTTATTTTGGCTAGGGCACTGAGGGGCTGGAGCCAGTTGAGCTGAGAAGAACCAAAACGATTCCCTTCTAGAGGCCACATGGCTTGCCCACCCCAGGCATCTCACCTGTCTCAGTGGCAAGTTCCACTTCAGTCTCCCAGACGCCTGTGTCTCGGCCATCCCTGGGCAGGCCATCGGAAGAGGTCTCCAAGTCATTTCTGGAGTTCTGAGCTCCCGCCTGGCCTGGCTGGTGTCTCCCCAGTCTTCTCTCACTGCTGAGGCCCGGCTTCTGTACCGGCTCGCTGGCAGGATGCCCATAGATCAGGTACCACAGAAACATGTGGATTGTCCGCAGGCGTGGCATTTTGGGCAGAAACCCTAGAGAACGTCCGAGTCCGGGAACTAAGGCAAAAACAAGGGAGAGCAGCACTTGAGAAATCCCAGATTCCATTTGATCCAGTCATTCAGAAACTAATGATTGCACTATGTCACATGTGCCAGGGAGGTGGTCGATATTCTTCTTTCTTTGAAACAGGACATAGTCTTACCCTCTTGGAACTCAGTTTCTAGTGGGAAAGGGCAGAAAATAACAAAATACCTACAATAATATTCAATGGAAACAGCAGGTACAGAAAACAAAGGGGGAGGGCTGAAGTGCAAAGTCTAGATTGAGGGGCAGGCCACGTGACGCGTGACGGTGCCTCTCGCGGCGAGCACAGGGTGGCCATGGTGTGTGGCTGTGCAGTCGAGGAAGGATCAGAGGCTGGGTGAGGGCAGAAGAGGGAAAGAGAGTGCAGATGGCGAGCCAAGCGCAATGCAGACAGGAGGGCGGGCGCCCAGACTCACCGGAGGGCGGGAGGGGCTGGGCAAATGTCCCAAAGCCAGTTCCTCTTAGGTAGCTTATTTCTCTATGGGCACCAGTAAGGCGCTCCTGGGCTTTTCCCAGCGAGGGCAGAGACGCCAGGACATGTGCCAGGGGCCCCTCCTGCACCCCACACCTCCCCACTAGGGGGTGAGCCCTCTGCCTAGTCCATGCAGGCACGTGTGTTCGGTAGAACATACGCAACGCTCCCGTTTTTCCTTCAGCCTGCACTTTCTAACTGTGAAAGTGTGAGGGGAAAGCCCACGGTTACACGGCTGGAGCCCCGAGGAGAGGAAGCCGCACAAATGACCTGTTCTCCTTGGAATGCCCAAGGCTGCCAAGTCCCCTGCCAGGATGTTTCCTGCTGGACCGAGGTCTGTGCCCTGTCAGTCCCCTCTGCCCTGCTCAGCAACATGCACACTTACGGCCAAGAGAGGAAACAAGCTCCCGATTATGACGCCACGGCCATCTGCCTTGCCCAGCACGTTTCACCACTGTTCTCCTGAGCAGGGGCGGGCAGGGAGACCTGCCTCTGCTAACACGTTACAAATGCTCAAGCACGGCCATGGCTGCCTGCTCGGGGGTCAAGAGGCGTAGAGATTTTCTGAGTTTTACAGAAAGTTCCAGGGATAAGGAGCAGGAATGGTTAACCCTGGTGAGTAACTCCTCACAGTGGGTTCTGGCCTAATTTCTTCTGGTTCTCTAACTGCCTCGGGCGAGGCCGGATCATTCCCTTTTGGCAGCGAGAGGCAGCTGTGCTGCTGACTGCAGTCCAGCGCGGACGGCAGAACTCCTGGCAACTCTAACGTCATGTGCACACGCCAGAGGAAAGACAAAAGTGACAAAAGGCTGTGTTTACCTACTACAGGGTTGTAATTTTTCAGCTGGGTTATGCCCATCTTCTCATCCGTCTTTTTCACCCGTGCAGGTTCGGGTTTAGCGGCCGTATCCGGCACAGAGTCTCCCGAGGCACTTGCTGGCTCCTCTTTCCCCTGACTTTCTTCTTCAGGCTCTTCCTGAGGCACTGGAGGCTGGGGCACTCTAATCCTGTAGTTCAAATCCAAGATCCAAATCAAGGGCTGAGAGAAAGGGCAGGTCTGTCCTCATGAGCAGATGAAGCCAGCCAGCCCTGGCTTCCAACCCAGCTGCTGCTGGACGCCAAATGAGTAAAATGTGTCAGGTCACGAGACATCTGGGCATGGTGGGGACATCTGGGCATGGCCCGGCAAATCGAGCCCCCATTATGGTAGCTCTGTGGAATGCCCAGCCCTCCTTGTCTGGGTACCCAGAGCTCTTGCTGGTCAGCTTGGCAGTCAGGCAGGGGCCGCTCACCATGGACAGAAGTCCTGGGAAACGAGGACCTGCTGACAACAGCAGGCAGACGTATGGCCAGCTTGGCCGAGCGGCTAGAACACCTTCCTCGACAAGACCAGTGGGAAGTTAGTTAAAACTAGAGAACAGAGGCCCTCCCTGGTGGCGCAATGGGTTAGGATGCAGGACTGCAAGCTGGCCGCAGCCGCTTCAGGACAAGTTCGATCCCGGGCCCTGGAGGTGACCCACATGGCGCGGCAGCCCTCTCCTGACCCGCCTGCTGCTCCCCTCAGCAGTGTACTTCTGTTGATCTGCCTGTTCTGCTCCCCACTCTGTCTCCGGTGAATCCTCTTACCTCCTGCACCTCTGGCCTGTACCCCAGTTCTTATGCACAAATAAATATATCTTAAAAAAAAAAAAGAGAAAGAATAGAGAACGGAGATACTTGGGCAGCAGCCCCTGGCCACTCGCACATGCTCCCGCGGCGCCTGCCCTCCCCGCTACTGGTCTCTAATACGTTCAGTACTAGGTGCCCAGGGTGAGGCGGCACGTCGCTTGCCAGTGTTGCCCCTCTCGGCTTCTCGTCGCTTCACAAGACGCTGAGTCACCTTTCCCTCTCTGGGCCACTCGCCATGCTGCTGCCCCCCACGGCGACAGGAGCCCGAGGTTCTGGGTCCTCTGATACTTCCATACATGGCAGAAACCGGGAACTCGAAGTGACATTAAGTGGCAGCTGAGCAGAGGTCTATGTGGCCCCAAACACCCAAGCCAGGCCTGGGCCATTTCAGGTTAAACTCCGCTAAGAACTTGCTCCTGCCTCTGAAACTGCTCCCAGCCCACTGGGCGCTTACAAACCCAGTTAGAAGAGCCCAGAGAGGCAACTAGGACCACTGTGGACCACCGTGAGGCAGCACCTGTCACACCTCGCAGGGCCCATGGCATGGAGTCCTCCAGCCAGAGCTGGGGCAGGCCAAGAACAGAACGTTTGTTCTCTCTTAGACACCAGAAGCTGACCCCTGTTTAGACGAGGGCTCATGGACCACACACCCAGTCAGCGGAGTTTCTGACCCCTCACAGTGCAAATCAAGGGCGCGGGTGGGCCTGCTCGGGCCACACCCACCGCTGCCGTCACTTGCCTGTTGGCTGTGCTGGAATTGGAGATCCGGAAACGAACCTGCTCGATGGCGCTTCTCACCAGAGGGTCATTCTGGTCCATGGACGGGTGCACCACCAGGTCCACCTGCGAGAGGGGTGGAGCGTGTGTCCGAAGGGCAGGGCCCAGGGGGGCCCACGCCAGACCTCAGTTCCCTGGCGGAATGCTGGTGATACCTATCTGAATAACTTTTTTCAAAAGATAGTCATGAGACTGGGAGCATCCTGTGGCGACAGCCTGCCATTCCAGAGACGAGGGCCCCCCAGGCTGGGGCGGGGAGCCTGGGGGAGAGCGGTGCCTGCAGCTCCCTCGCTGAGCTGTCTCCCCCTGCTCTCCGCAGCCTGTACCTCTCTCTGAGAACCCCCGAGTTACCCTTGCACACCAGCTGCCCTCTGGAGAAGGAAAGCGGCTTCCGCTGATCTCCCCCCATGGAGAGTCTCCCCCCATGGAGAACGCTGCTGCGGGACTCTGGCCCGGCAGCCTTCTAAACGGGCCAAGACTTGGAGCTGCTTCTGGGGTCCCTTGCCTGAGGCCCTGAAGCTGGATGGCTAGGGTGGCTATCATTTCTTGAGTGGCATTAGGGTGGCAACAGCAACTGTGGAAGGGAAGGAACCTGGTGGGTGGGGCAGAGGGGGTGTGTGACGGCTTGAGATGGCGGGGACCTAGGCCCTGGAGAGCGGGTTCTGTTTCGTCTCTGTCACTGGCAGAAGAGAGCAAGGCTGGGGTTTCTGCTGGTGCGACTCTGGGCAGGCTTCATGCCAGACACAGGCTGAGGGAGGGAAGAGGCGGCAAAGCCCCGAAGGGGACTCCAAAAGGCCACGCCAGGGTCCGTCTCTTCTGCTCCTCATTTGTGAAATGGGGACCTCGCCCCTCTGCCCTGCCATATTTGTGTGTGTGTGTTTTTGTGAGGTTCAAATGAGGGACACCTTAGGAAATTTAAAGCCACCCATGGGGCAAACACTCTTCCCACTTCCTCACTGTCCACTGCTACACGGCCAGCCAACTTCCCAAGGCCCGGTGCACAGGGCAGGACGCGAGCGGAGCCCAAGCTGACGGCGGCCTCAGCAGCTTAGTCAGCTGCCACGTGCCCACACCGCCCTCTCTCCAGAGGCAGGTGGCAGCCATGCGCCTGTCCAGTGGGAAAGCAGGCCCTGCGCCAGGGGCCTCAGCAGTGGGCTCTTCATCCTGGAGGTGGCATGATCCTGTGTCTACCTGCGCCCACTCCCTCAGATTCCCCTGGAATCGCTGGCAGAACTGGGGGCGCAGCAGACAAGTGGACCAGATCACCCCTCCACACTCCTGGGCTGGGGATTATCGTGCCCTCGACGACTGCCCCAAAAGACCTGCTCTGTGCAGAGCCAGGGACCAGGGGCTGCGCCAGTGGCTTCTGACCTGAGTGCAGGGTGAGCACAGGAGCGCCCAGCACGGCTCAAGGGGCAGTGGCTGACTGGCCGGGGCCAGGGAGGGGCAAGCTAAGGGACTCACGTCAGAGCTATGGACGTGGCGGGGAGAGATTATTTCTTTAGTCAGTTTTTCAAGTTTCCAGTGTCTCAATAAATAAGAAAACCTGGCTGACCTTACCAGCTCAACAACACAAATGCCAAAGCAGAGCTTGCTTGGGCAGCGATTTCACTGTTGTCAGAGGGGGCAGGAAATTACAAGCGACTGTCCCTGCCACACGCTCCCTCTGGTCCCAGGGTCCAGCCAGGCTCCCTCAAATTACTGAGCCTGGAAATGTCTGCCTTAAAATGCGTGCCAGGCTGCCGAGCTACAGTTGCTATGGCGATGGCCCCAAACTTTAAATTTTACAGAAACAGATAAATCGTCCCCACTGGACCACTCCAGCAGCGCATCCTCACTGAGTCACCGCTGCCACCTCCTTGGGGACAGGCTTCCTCAGATCTCCGTGGAGTAGGTTCTCACAGCTTCGCCTGAACTGTCCACCTAAATGCTGCTTAATTTCTCCCCTGTCTCTGCTGAACGTCACACTGCCTCTGCTTTCCCCCCCTTCTGCGCCGGCTGCAGGTGCACACCTCTCTCCCTGGCCCCCACAGGGCTGCACAAGCTGCTGTGTGGTCTCAGCAAGTAGCTCCTCTTTTTTGTCCTCAGCTTCCATAGAAAGTTGGAGTGATCCCTGTCTCCAAGTTAGGAAGCGGAGCAGGACATTCTGAGTTAGTGGCAATAAAGGAATGACTGAGCAACGGGACAAGAGAAGTTGGTAATGTGTGGTGGCCCCGGGTGGCTTTGTGGAGCCAGGAGAGCCTAGTTACCTTCTTCTTGATGCCATCTTGAATAACGGTGGTGCGGTAGAGCCGCAGGAGACCTTCCTCGGACAGGTTCCGCACCAAGCGGATAATGGACTTCTTGCAGCACTTGGTGGACACGCCTTCTTGTTTCTCCTGATCCATGATCATTTTCTGAATCCTGGGGCATCACCAATAAGCAGTTAACATTTGCCATGCCAATGAGGACGGACCTCTCCACCCAGGCCACCAAGACATGCCCGGTGGCATCTGGCAGAAACGAGGGAAGAATTCCCAGTTTCGCCTAGGAGAGGCTGACTGAGATACTGAAGGCTAGTGCGTGAGCGAGACCAGGCGCCATTCACAGCAGCTGTGCGTCCGCGCCTTTCACCAGGAGCTAAAGCAGTTACATGACCTGTGTCAACAGCGGGAGCGAAGGAGCGCGTCACGGAGCCCTGCCTTCACCGAGCGTCCTGCTAAGCTGCCCTCCACCTGAGGAATGTGCCCGTCACACTGTCGGCGTCCTCAGGTCTAAGCTCGTTGGGCCCTGCCCAGGCATCTTACTAGTTACTAGGTGATGCTTCCAGATCACCAGTCGCTGCATGGCGGGCCAGAAGGGACTCCTCCATGCTGCCAAGGCCCTTCCTGCACAGAAGAGGGGAGCTCAGCAGCAGCACCCCCCAACGCAGACGGCGTCCTCGCTCCTCAGCTAGGTAACTGGCAGCCTGACTCCAGGCTGAGGCACTGTATCGAGGGCGCTCACCGATGCCTCGGGAGCCTGAAGAGGCCGCCCACGAGGTGGTGCCCGGGCGTCAGGAGAACTTCTGCGCCACGCACACAGGCCTACCTGTGTCTCTTATTTTGCTTTCGAGTAAGATTTTATTTGAACAGAAGGCACCACGGAGAACTACAGCAAAGTTTATAAGCCCCTGCTCCTGCCCGCTGAAGTCTCTTCTTACCCCTCCCCGTGGCACAGATCTGCAGGGAAGGAGAGAGGCCAGTGCCCTTTCGCCAGGACCTGCACGTCCTCTCTGTCACCCTCTCCCCAGAGGACGCGCTGGGTCCTCAATGCCTGTGCGCCCCGAATCCCAACAACAAGCTCAGTCCGTCCAATCACAGAGACGCTGGGGCACTCACAGCAGAGAACGCGCAGAAACCTCGCATGTGTTCCTGCGGCCTGGGACTACGTGGCGGCGCCTGACCCTTAGCACAGAGGGGCCAGGCAGGCAACTCCTTACGTGAATAAGCTCTCGATCAAGCGGAGGTTGGTGACGGCCTCGATGATGAGGTTCCTGCGCTTCAGCAGTCTGTACGTTTCGTGGGGCTTGTCCTGGCCGGAGCCGTGTTTGCCTGTCTTCTGGGAGCTGCCACTTTCCTACGACAGGGGCAGGAGCAAGTGGCCCAGCGTGAGAAGCCCCATCTAGGCTGGCACACAGAGCTCCCTGCGAACTCGATAAAGTCAAAAGAGAGAGTGGCCAGAAATCCAAACACCGAGTACACCGCTGGCAGTGACCCTGGGGAGATGCAGCTGCGTGCGGGTGGGGGAGACCCCCCCCCCCAGGGCCCGGCCTCTGCCTGGCACAGAGCAAGCTCTTGGCGTGGGACACGGTCACTGTCAGCGCCCTCTGGCTGCCGAGCACAGACTGAGAAGGCCGCGTACCTCCCTCCGCCCTCAGGGCGACGCCCACTCCTCACCTTCGGGTTCTCCAGCCTGACCTCTTCGATCATGGCAATGTCGCCAGTGCTGTTGCCTATGCAGTGGGTACCGAGGAGGTCCGAGGAGCTGCTGGCATCCACGAGGCCGTCCCGGCCCACGGCGCTCCGGCCGGGCCTCTCGTCAGCAGCCCCTGGGGAGGACGCCGGCTGCTTCTTCAGGGGGTGCAGGTTTACGACTTTCCACCCACCTGGGGGAGCAGGAACACAAAAATGAGCCAGGACCCATCGGGGGGAACCTGACAAGGGAACACGAATGCTCAGACACCAGGCAACCCACACAGGTCAAAGGACTTCACGCGGCCAATTTACAGACTGGACCACGAGAAGAGCCCTGCCCCCAACCCACATGCACAACAGCTGGGTATCAAAGCAGGGCGCACCCAATCTCATCTACAATAAAGGCTCCCATCGCTAAACTAAACACCTAAGGAATTCCTAAATAAATTACTGGAAAGAAGAGAGAGCACGTTTATGAAATTCCATCCCTTAAATAGTAAAAACGCGGCAAGACAAACGTTAGGAAAGGACAACGGGCATGCACGCAAGCAGGGGACGCCACGTGACACCATGGCCCAGCGTCACTCCGCTTGGAGATGCTCCGGGCCATTCTGAGGACACCCGGAGCAAGGTGGGCGTGGCAGCAGCTCAGACGGGGGTGGCACGCTCTTACCGGCCCCCACTCCCACCTCCCCCTGCCCCAACCCCACCCGGGGCCTGAGAGAGCCCCTACCCTTGCTGGGAGTGGAGTGATGAGGCCCCAGGCTGAGGCTCGAGGCCCTCCTGTCCCCCTGGGGCCCTTTGCCGCGCTTCTTGCCGCCGCCGCCGCCCTCCTCCTCACTGTCCGACTCGGAGAGGAACGTGTCCTCGGCCTCGGGCAGCAGGGACTCCTCCTGCACCGAGGCCAGGCTCACGGTGGTCAGGAGCTCGCCCCGGGCCTTCTCCCGCTCGTACTGCCGGCTGAGGTCGCTCTCCTCCGCAAACACGCAGGAGATGTACTTGGTGGTCCGCTGCCGCCCCTCGTCTTCCATGAAGCCCTGCGGAGCAGACGTGCTTGCTCACAGTCAGGAGGCACTCAGCTCGGGCATCGGGGTCGGCGGCGGGGGCACCTACTTTCCTACCATTCTTGCAGTCACCTGGCTGCCCCCCTTCTCCGCCCCTGGTCGGCCCCTCGATGTTCCCCCCAGGTCTCATCCTCACCCTCAGGTCCTGAGCACACGGGCCGGTCAGACTGGGGCTCTAAACCCGATCCCGAGCGTGTCTGCTCTAGAAGGCTAAGGGTGCCGGAGGGAGCGCCCTCCCAGATATTCCGGGTCTCCCTAAGGCCAGGACCAGACTGAGTCCCCCAAGAAACAGCCAGCAGAAGGGTTTGGGGTGCGTGATTGACGGCCAGTGAGCAAGGCCCGAAGTCACTAGCGCCGTTCATTCGCTGCCAAGGAGCCTGATGCCAAGTGCGGCACCAGCCTCTGTCCATCTTGTCTTCTAGACCAGGGGGAAAGGCCCCCTGAGCCCTCCGTGAGCTGCTGAGGGCAGCTCTGAGCTCTGAAACCAGCCGTCAAGCCAGTCAGTGCCATCCCCAGGAGCCCGGGGAGGGCATGTGAGCGAAGGGGTTGAGTACCAGGAGCCCTGGGGAGCACCCCTTCACCCCTTTGCCCATCAGTGTGCTGGCCGGTGCAGGAAGCCCAACTCCACGCCTCCTGCCAACCTTTCAGTACCGACAATTCTAATTTCTAAACGGTGGAAACCAACAAAAGCCACAGGGAGAGGAAGGGGGGAGGCGGGGGAGGGTCCCCCACAGGCATGTGCTGCTTCCTGCCGGCTGAGACCCAGCTCCACAGGCGCACGCCACACTCCCCGGGGCAGGGGTCGGCACCGCGCCCTTACCTTGACGACTTTGAATCTCTGAAGGAGACGACACAGCATTCTTGCTTCCAGTTTTCCCACATTCATTGCCACTCGGATTTCGGCCTGGGAAATCCCTTTTGTGCCTCTGCGCTCAACTGTGGGAAACAATACCCTTGACCTCCAACTCTGCAGGTGTCAGTTCCACCCGCCTTTTTAACCGCGGGGCTCTGGGTGCAGCGAGACCAACAACAGAGCATGCCGGCCCTCCCGGGACGCTCCACCGGGCTTTGCCGCAGGCCTGCCTGGTCATTCACGGACCTCACTGGCGGACTCCCTGGCCCCCTGCTCGCTCCCCACCAGGCTGCTTTCTGGAGTTCGTGGTCACACAGTAGCCGAACACGTCAGAGGGCTTCCTTCCTCAGGGACAGCCCTGAGGAAGGACCGCGTGTAATGGGCAGGCGCTGACCAGCGAGGGAGAGAGCTGCCGCCCACGCGCCACAGCTCCCCGTGCCACCTCGAAGGCTGAGCGACCACCTACATCTAAGTTCCGGTGACTCCGCTTTCACCCAGCGGCAGAGGCAGCTCTTTCACACGAATGATCCTTTCATAACTGAAGCTGACCCTTTAACAAAAAAAAGGCTTTTTCATTACTCTTCCTCCAGGACTGAGATGTGGACATGGACACGGCTGTGCTGCTCTTCCAGAACAAGCCGGTGCTTGGGGGCAAGTAAGGCTCTTTGTCCTGGCATTAAATGGCCAGCGATGCCCACTCTCTCTCCGTCGCTGGTCAGCGCCTGCCCGTTACACGCGGTCCTTCCTCAGGGCTGTCCATGCCTGCCTCTAAGAAGCCCTCTGACGTGTTCCGCTACTGTGTGACTGCGAACTCCAGAAAGCAGCCTGGTGGGGAGCGAGCAGGGGGCCAGGGAGTCCATCCAGTGAGGTCTGTGAATGACCAGGCAGGCCTGTGGCAAGGCTCTGTGCAGGTATTTTCCTGCTGTATCACCCACTGGAGGTGGCCAGGGAGAACCACTTTGGATAAGGTTTGCTCTACTACACATGTGTAAAGAGAAATGTCAGAATAAGCAGAGGGAACTGGGCTGTGTCTAACATGCTAAAAGTGGAGATGAAAGGGTTAAGAGGAACCTTGCCCAGACCACATTCTGAGGAACCTATTCTGAGAGAGGCCAAGTTGACAAAACTACCCAACAGCCCCCGCAAAGGCCGGGTGGCTTCAGGCCTGCGGCTCAATCAGGTCTCCCGCAGCCCCTCCTCCTCCACGGTCCTCCCCCTGGGACCACCTCCTCTTGGCTACTGCGGTCTCGTGCAGATTTGAGGGGTCTCGGGCAGTGAGACAGTCTCCCTGCTTATCACTAGACTTTCCAGCCTGCGCTGACCCCAGGCCAAGTTCAGAAGATGGTGCCCACGCTCCGATCCCTGAGCAGTAACATAGACCCATCACTTTTCCGGAGTGTGTGGGCCCGCGGGACCTCACCACGCCACACGGCCAACAGGCGGCAGAGCTGGGCTCACGCAAGGCCAAGCCCTCAAGGGGACATTCCCGCGGCACGGGGCTGGGCAGGAGGCATCCTGCTCCTGGACGCTGCGGCCGGGAAGCGCGTGAGCGGGCGTGGGCAGGACCGGGACCTACTGAGCTCGTAGGTCTGGGTGAGCATGTCCCGCTCATACACCACGTCCACCGGCGGCACGCCCTTGGAGATGACCTCCTCGTCGTCGTCGTCGTCCTGGTCGTGGTCATCTTCCATCTTCCGTTTAAACTCCTTCAGCAGCTTGAGGCAGCGCACCATGACGTCGGTCCCTAGGAACAAGGCACAAGTTTCCCACAGAGTAAAGGGGGGTCTGGGTGGGGGGAGAGGGGCCCACAGACAGAGACCCAGGGACCGGCCACGCGTAGCGCCTGCTTGGAACAGTCACAGTCAACACCCTGGGGCTTAAGGCCTGAACGCTTGCCCCACAGGAGGGACCTTTGCATGGCACAGCAATGAGCGAAGGACCTTCCAGTCAAAACAGACACCAGGTGCCCTGTCAGCCCCCCTCCTAGCCAGCCGCACCCACCTGGGCCATGGCGTGGGGAGCCAGCGCCCAGCCAGGGCACTGCTGCCTGGGGAACGTCATTGTTCCTTCTTGGCTGACAGGGCAGCAGCAGCAGAACTGAGGTCCACCGCCCTTCTAGAACACTCCAGGAAGGCTTTAACCCAGTCAGCCCAAGGGTAGGAATTTACTTCCAGAAAATGACCCAACAAGAAGCCAAAGCTTATGGTGATGAGGCCACACAGCGGCCTTTATGGCATATTTGATGAGGGTGAGGGACCGAGTGGTGGCCCGCCCACCTGCAGGCCACTGGCCAGTGCCTGCTACAAACCACCAGGCAGGGCCTCTGTGCAGCCACGAAGGCTGCTGGGAGAATGACAAGTCCTGCCTATGTCTGTGACAAGAGAATGGTGAGAGGGAAAGCGAAACTTCTTGACGCTTTACACATGCTAACTCAGTGATCCTGACAACTGAGGCTGCATCCTACAGAAGCCGCTCAGGCGCAAAGGAAGGAAAAAGCCTGCCCAGCAGCTCGTGTGTGACAGAGGCCATGTTCCTGAGACACAGCCACTGGTCTCCAGCGGGAGGAAGTGATGCCCCATGGCACCTGCGGTGGGCAGGCAGAATAGTGGCACACTGGGAGGTGCTGCCTCCCACGGCAAAGGCACCCGCAGGCAGCTAAGTGAAGGTGTGCCGTCACGTGGCGTGACCGACGGGGGTTCTGACAGTGTGCGGATGATCTGCGAGGAAGCGCCCAGCCCGAGTCCTCAGAAGAGGGGGCAGGAGAAGCAACAGTGCGCGCGGCAGGGGCGACGTCGCTGGCTTGAAGACGGAGGCGGCCCGCAGGCCGTGGAAGGCAGGTGGCGTCTAGAACCTGCCCGGTGCCTGCAGGGGCTTCTCTGGGCACAAAGCGTGAAGTTTCTGGGGGCCCTGAACTCAGCAGAGACTTAGTTAGCCTGAGTAAGGTCCGGTCCTGGCTGACTCACCCTCCGGGGGGCCTGGGACAGGAGGTCAGTAAGGAGCAGGTAGCCACGGCAGATTAGCCAGGGCTGATTCTCCTCCACCTTCACACAGAACGCCCCCCAATGCCCAACTTTTCGTGAAAGGAACGTGAAGCCCGAGTGACGCTGGTCTATGGGGCTCAGCTCCCCTCCCCAATTCCTCCAAGACGTCGCTCTTTCCCGTGTGGGCACCTGCCCACCCTCACCTTCCACCTCTCCCCAGAAGGGAGCCCAAAGCGCCGGGAAGTGGGTATGGGATGAGAGGTGCCCGTGCACAGCCACGCGGGTGAGAACTACTTCAGGGCCCAAGGGCCAGGCCAGGCCTGGGCCCTCCTTATGGAATTCCTTCTAATGACAAGGACATAAGGCCCACGGTGGCCACTCTACCAGTAGGTGGCAGCAGACTGACTCGGAGCCTTCCCCTCCGTCCTCTGCTCAAGCCCTTCTCAAGCCCCAAATCCCCCCGGAAGGGGTGTGGCTGATAGTGAGACCACCACCCCTTCTGAGGGTGCGTGGCGTCCCACATGCTGATCCTGCTCCCCACTTGGGGTCCGCCTCAGTCCTCACCACAGCTCAGGAGCTAGGGAATCTGCCCACTGCACCCATCACGCTCCTCACTTAGACACTCCCAGAGCTGGGGTTTATCAAGCAGCCCCGAGACCAGGTCCTAAAAGTTAGACAAAACTGTGGCCTCTAATTCAAAGATGTCCCTGTGCGAGGGACGAGCGGGTGACCTGTGCCAGCATTGCCATCCTGAGGGGCTGGAGGGAGATCTGACAGGCTCTCAGTAACAACTCAGCATTATCTGACTCCTTTTAACTCCCTTAAGGGGCTAATTAGCCGAGAAAAGGTGTTCAGAACAGCCCTCAAAACAAACACAGGTGAAGAGGAGAAAGCTGCTGGCACTCAGGGCTCAAAGGGCCTGGCCGGAACATGCTCGAAGGCCTTCACACCCGACTCTGCTCACGTGCATCACCAGCTGCCTGTGGACAGCTACGCTGCCCGCCTGGACGCCAGTCACATGCCCACAGCCCTGCGTCAGCCTCCAGCACGGGAGCATCCTCTCAGCCCCCGTCGCCAGCCTCCGATGGTCCTGCGTGTGCTGCTGACCAGCCCTGGGGCGAGCAGCTCTAGCCCCGGGGGGAGCTAATCAAGCCAGGATTTTACGCCACTGTGGACTTTTCTGCACATGTTTCAGCTCTTGCATTTAATAGTTTTTGCCACATTAAAATGTGCTTTATTAATTATTAATGATAGTACTTTTTATATTTTTGGCGAGTGTCTTTTAATCATCTCTGTTGCTTTAAACTTAAAGAAATCTTGCTATTTAGCTGTTTTAACAGTCTTCCCCTTAGCTCCATTAATTTGCTACTAGACTTTCAATTTCCCTCACAATTTTCATTCTGTGGTTATGTTCACACTTTCTCCTTTTTTGTATTTCTGATCTTCATTCTTTTGCATTCCACTTTTCTGATTTTAAAGCTCTTCTGAATTTTTATTTCACTGCATGTTAATCCTTAATGTGGTTCATTTCCCTGTCTTCTTGGCTTGTACACTTTAATCCTTCTTTAACTATTGAACTGTCACCCTTTGCTATTTTAATGATCTTAATGTAGTTTGCTGTACCCTGGTGTTTTTTTTTTTTCTTTAAAATTTTAACAGCTTGACTGCTAATTCATGTACCGCATGAACCACCCACCCGAGGTACACAAGTCAGCATTTTTTAGCATATTCATGGGTATATTCACCCCTGTTGTTACAGAGTGGGGTGAGGGGCACCCCAAGCTCCCAAAACCTGACTGCTCTAAATAGGTTCTGCCATCCACATCAATGTAAAACATATCCTAGTGAGACCTTCAGTGGAAGGAAGTTTACTATGATTAGTGTGCAATAAAGAGAAGGGAAAGAAAAAACAGTTTTCACACAAGACCCTCAAAGTTACCCTTCCCCTTGGGGGTAAATGCCCAGCCAAACAGGGCTGGCCCAAAGCAGGTCTGCCGAGGCCCAGAAGTTTGCCACAGTCTATGGTGGGGACCAACAGGAAAAGGCAGAAGGAGCAGGCGAGTCTGGGACAAAAGGAGCAAAATCCAAACCAAGGCAAAGGTGGCCACGCCAGCCTTCCCTGGGGGAAGTGGGGGGGGGCTCTCCAGCCCTCAGCCCTGCGCTTCTGCACACTCAGGTTCTGTTCAGCATGCCGGGCGCCCGGGAGGCCTTCTGGTCTGGAGACTCACGCCCTGAGCTGTGCCTCCCTTGGCGTCCTGGGCACGTTTCTCGCCCCTCTCCGGAGCCTGTCCGACTCGGCATAGTACAGGCAGCCCAGCTCTCCTATTTCCCATCTCTTGAATTTCTGTTCTTTCTGGGAAATTTTCATTATGTTGTCTTTACTATTGTTCCTTCCACTAACTGTCTTGTTGCAATAGTCCCTTTCTTTACTTCTCTGAGTGCTCTTTGTATTTCCTGCATGTCCACCTTTCTGAGAGTGTAACTCAGGGCCAAAGAGTGAGGCTGGAGCCAAAGGCTGTGACAGGCGGTGCCCGCTGAGGGGTGCCGGTGAGGATAAACAGCCCAGGTGGAACATGCCCTCCCAGGAAGACGCAGTGGGGTGGGGACTCTGGTAGGAAATATAAGGGGCTGCAGAAGTAGCCACTAGGGGCACCAGACCCGCCCCTACCATGCCGGATCTTCCAGAAGGCCGCTGCAGGCCTCCAGAGGACATGGAGAGGCTTCTAGCAGCCACCCGAGGAGGAGAAAAGCTGAGAAGCTCTGTGGATAGCTGAGCGCCTGAAACTTCCCAGCTTTGCTGCTGCACAGCCCAAAGGGGAAGGAGAGGGCCCAGAGGCGGTGTGAGCGTGGCCATCTGTCAGGTCATTCGGCTGCTGCAGCAGCTGCTTCACATGCTGCCTGTCTGATGCTGAGCTGGCTCATCTTGGCAGCTCTGGGGAGCATCTCCTGCTGTGCTCCTGTCTGGCCTCCATGTGCTCTAGGCCCTCAGTGGCAGGAAGACGCCATCTTGGACACCCTTTGTTTAGCACTTCAAAACACTGGACGCTACTTGGGGTGAGCTGCCAGCCACTCGTGGCCTGGACGCTACTTGGGGTGAGCTGCCAGCCACTCGTGGCCTCGGTGAGTCTTTGCCCTCCCATCATTGTTGTTCCTCGAACCTGAGTGGTCTTGCCATTGTGTGTGCAGGTGAAGGGCCCAGACAGTGACTATCTGGGCAGAGCCGCTGGCTGGTTTTAGTGCCTCTCACTGCCCGGTAACTAAAGCTCTGAGTGTTTTATCTTCAGTGTTTGACTTCAGCTCATCAAGAAAAGGTAAGCAGCAGCAGGATTAAAAAAAAGAAAGAGAGAAAATAAAGGACCAAAGAAAGTACTTAAACTTATATCCTACTGTCTTTAACTTTTTTAGGACGTTCAGATCCACCTGTTCCTTACTGACTGCTTAACCTCAGGTGAGGTACTGGGCACCTCTTCACTTTTTATCACATGTCAAATGCTGACAATATCGCCCACCATGCAGCACAGAAGAGGAGCGTGAAAGTGGCTTAGTAAGAAGGAAGTGAGCTTGTACTTTGGATACCACACATTTGAGATGCAGCGGGGAAAGTCACAGAGACGCGAGCTGAAGTTAGACCTGCTTCATCCAGCAAACATTTCCAAGCACTTTTAACATCAAAACTCTGAGTCAGACACTGAGGAATAAGGAATAGGGAAAAGTATGTGAAATCACCCCATGAAAGACAGACTACGGCGAGATAGGCTGGAGTGTAGACGTGAAAGCCGTGCACACCGTCAGTGGGCAGAGGCGACTGTCTTTACCTTTCTTTGTCTTACACGGTCCACATTCAGGGTGAATCTCTTGTAAGGGGAGAGACACCACCTTCGCCAGCCCAGCATTCAGCATGTACTGGTACAGACGCTTAAATGTCCTTTCGCACAGCCCCTGGCAAGACAACATTTAAAAGCTACTGTTAGATACAAGTACAATGCCTGGAACTATTAGTTATGTGAGCGAATTCTAGTCTGGGCCTGAGTTAACTGATCATCCTGAGTGAAGAAAGCCTGTCAGAGGATACTGTCAAGAGAACAAAACCCAGCGAAGCCTACAGACTCCCTCGTGACTGAAGGGAGAAAGAGCTTCCTTTCAAAGGCAAACGTGGAGGGTGAGAACGAGGCAGGTGGGGACAGAGCCAGGAGGACTTTGCTGTTTACCTTTTCATAGTGCTCTGGTTGTTAACTAAGTAAGCACATCAGCTATTAGCACACACACAAACAAGAAAAAAGGCAGATGAAAAATAGCTTTAATTTATCGCATGAAACGGCAACAGAATGCAGATGCGCTCATCCACCTCAGTGCTCGCAGTTGTGTGAAGTGACGCAACCACAATGACGGCAGGTGCTCCGCGGGCCGCCTCCAGCACAGGCTGCGACTTTGCGCCTGTGCGCTGGGATTTTTAAGTATTTCATTTGCCAACACTGAAAAGTGACAGATTTCACGTCAACAGTCATAGTCTGGCTGCTCTTGAAAAACAAGCCGTAGGCCTGCAAGGCCTCACAGCTGCAGCCAGTGGGGGCGGGGACTCAGCCCCTCAGACAGGCCCCGCCAAGTGCCCGCCTTCACCCCCAGCGGGTGCCCGGGCCCCTTGTCAGTTATCAGCACGTATGCCGCTTTTCCTGTGCCAGTTAAGAGGAAGTTCTCTGTCCCCACCACCATGGAAACGACTTTTTATGCTTAAACTCGTTCTCGCCTTCCTACTGCCTCTTGCAACTGCCGGCATTTGATTCTGCAAACCCTGAATCATGGGGCAGGTACCACTGTTAGACCTCCAAGGCTGACAAGCAGGAGGCGCGTGTGACTAGGAGCCCTGACTGGGCCTTAGGGTTTCCGCCTACCCCCCAGGGGCGAGGGCGCCTGTGGTGGCAGTGCGCGCCATGCCACACGTGCCAGCTTTCCGACTAGCTGTGCACTGGCTGCTGGGAGCAGGACGTACAGCTACCAAAGTGCAGGTGACACCCACATGCTCACTGGGAGCCACTGGGAAGGTGGAGCCGGCACCCACCACCCACCTAGCCGCGCCCCCAACAGCATGGAGACTCCCTATGGAAACTCATCCATCAAATCCCAGCCCCAGGTCCTGAGCCCCCTGCCTCCCGGGGACGGCCTCGCACAATCTGCCAGCAAAAAGAGAAACAGCAACAGGACAACGATCATGTCCCAGACGACCGTGTCGTTGTTCACCGCAGCAACCCATCCAAAAGCTAATTATTCCTAAATCCTGCTGAGCCAACTCTGACCCCTATTTCCAGCTGCTGACTAGACATCACCAGTGAGGGTGCAGGAAAAAACATCCTAGTCAATAAATCCTAAAATTAAGCTGTCACATGCTTCCTCCTCACTCAGCCTTGTTCCCCCTGTGTTCCAGTCGCACATTTAGCCACAAGCGCTTACCTCGTGTCTGCGGAGGAACAGGCCCATCCTCCCGTTGGGGGAGGTGCTCGGCAGTGAACAGACCTGGCCCCTGCTCTGCTGATCCTGCCCTGCACGGAGCTCCGGTCACTCACGTCCGACAGCCCCTCCTATGTCATTCACCTCTTCTTCCTGGCTACCGTCACCCCATGTCTTGCCAGAGTGACCCCCAACCGTTCAAGGTCTCCTGGTTACCCACCCAGCCCAAGGCCAGAGCGTCTACCACACTGCCTGCTCCAATCTCACCCGCCTACCAGTTCATTTCCTAAACTCTCGTTTCTTGTACTTTTGGTCAAAAGTGTGAGTGACTGGCACTCACACCTTCCTTCCCTGCCCACATCTCTCGCCTGCCAGCCCACTACTGCTGACCTCCCCACAGCCCCTGGCCCAGCCCGCACCTTTTGCTCAGTGCTTGGCCTTCATCGGCAATGCCATTCTCGCTGTCTCTTTAGGGGACACTGACATCTTGAAAGCCCAGATTGACTGTAACTTGCTAAAAAGCTTTTCCCAGCTCTTGAAAGAAACTGTATCACTCTGCTCAGGGAGCTCACACACACCCTGCGAGGTAGCAATATGGCCAATCTGACCGCCCTGTGCCAGCCTGAGGCTGCCACCCTCACGGACTGCTGTCAGCTCAGAGCAGGACACTTCCCAACTCAAAGTAGAGCTGCCAGGAGAGCGAGGAAGCTGTGTCCGGTAAGGTCCCAGCTTGCTGCTCGGTGAGTCCATAGTGCTGAGGGGCAGATGAGCTGGGTGTCCCCACCCCGAGAGACTGAGGAGGGCCAGTGTCTAACGGCTGTATGGGTCAGACAAGTAGCACAAAAAACAAAGTGGGCAGATATTTGTTCATTAAATGTGTAGGGTTTTCCCATCTCTACTGGGGCCTCAAGAGAGGCCTGTCAGTCTACTTTTCATTTTTCACTTTTGGTGTTTCTCTCCCACCAAGAACAGAGCACACGGTGCCCAGAGGTGACAGCAGTGGGGTCGAGGGGTCTGGCTGGTGCACAGCTAGTTCCAGCTGTCCCAAGAAACTACAGCTTCCTGATGTTTCCAGGGGAGTGGGAAACATTTTTATGTGAAATCTCACTTTTAAAATACTAGATCAAATTCATTTTTAATAGAGTATAGGCTCAGTCGGACCACAAGTCTCAGTTCATAAACCTCCACTCTAAAGAGGTGCAGGTGTGCAGTGAATCCAGTCAGAGGAAGCCGCTGCCCGAGCAGGAGCTGAGACGAGAGGGTTTCCAGCAACGAGCAAGGATCCGAGGTCAGACTCCAAACCATGCTCCTCTGGGGACTATTTGCTATTCTCCAAAACATCTGACTTGAAATTTTATGTTTTAAGGTCAACTGTTTAACCTACAGGGACAATTTGTTGTTCTCCCATTTCCACCGCTGGCTCTCACCTAACTTCCTCTTGGGCCAGACTACCGCCTCCACGCTGTCCTCCTCACCCTCACCAACTCTGCCCTGTGCATGGGCCAGAGAGGAAGCAGGACCCAGTTCTTTTCTCCTGGGTCATCACACCTCCACTCTGAGCAGTTACTATTTCAGAAAAAAAACCCAGTGGGAAGAAAATGGGAAGCCTGATCACAGCAGCTAATCTCAATGCTGAGGTTCACTATCCCCTGAGAATTTTCACAGCAGGTCCTGGAACAAACCCCAGGGGAAGATGTCAAGAGCCCATCGTCAAGAGCAAGAGGAATCTCTAGGAAGGACCACGCATGTTCTCATCCTGTGCCCCGAAGGAGAGCCTCACTTGTTTCAAGGTCAGGGATAATCAAGCCCCTGCAGGGTTTTCCACAATGCATTTGCCCACCCTGACAGAGGCCAATCCACCCTGCAAACGGGAAGCCCGCAGCTCACCAGCTCTTCCCGAAGCTTTCCCAGGGTCTCTATCTGGTTACTCCGTGTGCTCAGAAGACCTGAAAGTTTCTCCATGAGGATGTCATATTTGCTCCTCCTGCAAGAAATACAAGAGTTTGCTTTTTCAAAACCTATTGCTAAAGACAACTTGTTTTTAAAAGATGGCAGGCAAGTCATAAATGACAACAAATCAAAGTAGAGCACCTCAGTCTTAGTCAAGGGCCATCCAGCCCAGCTCCTGCATTTCCAGGGGCCTGGCCGAGTGGTAAGCCACACGGCTGAGGTCACCTAAACGGTAGCAGCGGGCAGACTAGACTCTGCGCTAAAACCTTAACAGTCCTAAAAATGCCTTATGTTTTTATAATCCTGTGTTTGAAGAAAATGACTTATCTGCACAGTCAGAAATTCACAGCGAGTGTCCGTTTTGCGGAGCGGCAGTGGCGCTCTGCATCAGCCACTGCGTTAGCCGGAGCGACGCCGGCCGCACGCACCTGTCCACGTGGAAGCGGTTCAGGAGGAGGAGGATGGAGTGCTGCTGCGCACCGGTGGGCAGTCGGATCACGTGCGACTGCATGGTGATGAGGCCGTTCTTGTTCAGGATTTTCCTGTGGTAGTGAAGCTTCCCGGCATCCACCCTGGAGGACAGGGGCGAGGGGGCTGTAGCTTTGCCTCTGCTGGCTGTTTGCACCCCACAATGAGGAGCCTCCCGCTGGACCTACACACACCTCCTGTCCAGCCCATCTAAAGGGGCAGTCACACAAGACTTGGCCTTGGAACGAAAAGCCGCGTCTCAGCCTACACCCTGGATGCCGGGGGGTGGGGGGGAGGAAGCAAGGGGACGTGGGGGAGCAAGGCTGGGTGGAGACAATGGGAGCTAATGAGAGCATCAGATTGGGGTCTCCAGTCCCGCCGTGATCAGGGACTTGGACAACCGGGCATCCTGGTGTTCACGTTGGCCCTGATTTACGCCCCCTGCCTGGCATCCCTCCTGCGTGCTTCTCTTGACATGTCTGGGCTGGAGGGTCACAGGCCACCCCGAGGTCTCTTCAAAAAAAAAAAAAGCACCCCACGCCTGGGCATCAAGGCGGAGGAATGGGGGACAGCAGGAAGACAAGGCACAGGCCACCCGGACCGGTGAGTGCAGCGTTTAGAGAAAAGAGCCAGCATCCCCTCACTTGAAAGCGGAGCTGTGCAGGTCTCGCTGGAGCTCCCCTTGCCACCGGGACCGGCCCAGGCGCTCCAGAATGCAGTAGGAGAAGTCTGGGAGCTTCAGGTCAGGGTCGCCCTCTGCGCCGATCAAGGCCCTGTACCGCATGTCCTGGGAGGCAACGATGATCAGCTTCTTCCCCCACCTGCAAGCCAGACACAAGTGCACGGGCCATGACTAGCAGATTTTAAGACAAGCAGAACCTTAGAGAATCACTCTTTTCTTCAGCTTCTTGGAGGTTTACAGCCCCCAGCGAAGCAGGCTTCAGTCTCAACTGCAGACGGGCAGTGCTCAGGGCACACAGCTCTGCCGGCCTGAAGCTGCCCCGCGCGTCACACAGAGCCCCCAGCACGTGCTGCTGCCTGGGGGCCGAGACACTCCCTGGAGCCGCCTCTGTGGGAGGAGCAGGCACCAAGGGGCCATGCGAAAGGCCCCACAGGCTACCGGCCCTTCCTGTCCAGCCCTGCTGTTCCCAGAAGCCTGACCGCAGGTCTGTCTTCGGTCACGCCACTACCCTGACTAACCCCCTCTTCCGGCCCAAAGGTGTTTCCACCACCAAGTAGGCAAAAATGAAAACCAGGTTGTCTCCACTGGAACTGCAGCTTCCTTCCCATTGTTTGGGGCCCAGTTACTCTTCTGCAAAGCCATCCGGTCTGCACAGCCACCCGCCTGACGAATGGCAGCTTGTGGGGCATACAGCAGGCGGCCCACTCCGTGGCTGCCTCATCTCCAAGTTAAGCTTGAAGAGGTCGGCTGGGACAAGAAAATTTGAAAGCCGGGCAATGGCTCACTGGTTTAAAACTCACACCGATCTACTACCCTCCTCTATCACAGTCCTGGTGTTTCCAATTAGTAGACGTGATGACTTGTATTAGCCTAATTTGCTGCCTGGTCATCATACAGGTCATCAAATACTAGCTACCAAGCAAAGATCAGAGACACCAGGGTAAATAAACACAGTATCTATCTTCACGGAGCTCATCACCCACTGAAGGAAAAAGGTAA